TGTTTCTATCTCTTTCTCCCTCTCCCTTCCTCTCTCTCTAAAATGGACAAAGGACATAGGTCATTTCTCCAAAGAAGACACATAGATGGCCAACAGACATATGAAAAGATGTTTAACATCACTAATCATCAGGGAAATGCAAATCAAAACCACACACCTGTCACAATGGCTGTCATTAATAAACTCACAAACAGATGAAGATGTGGAGAAAAGGGAACCCTTGTACATTGTTGGTGGACTATAAATTGGTGCAGTCACTGTGGAAAGCAATATGGAAGTTCCTCAGAAAATTAAAAACAGAACTACCATACGATCCAGCAGTTCAATATCTGAGTATTTATCTGAAGAAACCTAAAATATTTGAAAAGATATATGCAGCCCTATGTTTATTTGCAGCATTTTTACAATAACCAAGATAGGGAAGCAACCTAAGTGCCCATCAATAGACAAATGGATAGAGACAATGTGGTACATATGTACAATGGGGTATTACTTGGCCATAAAAAGAATGAAATCTTGCCATTTCCAACAACATGGATAGACCTAGAGTGTATTATGCTAAGTCAAATAAGTCAGAGAAAGACACCATATGATATCACTTATATATCTAAAATACAGAATAAACAAACAAAGGAAACAGAAACAAGCTTATAGATACAGAGAACAAACATGATTTCCAGGTGGGAGGGTTGGGGGGGGGGTGTAGGTTGCACTGATTTTGCTTCTGAGAAGCACCTGTGTCTTCACTTGAGCTTTCTGGTGTGCATCTGTTTGCTTTTCAGCTAAATTTTTCTGCAAAAATTATGCACTAGAAAAGTATTCTTACCAAGGAAAATAATTACTGGTCTCGGCTTTCACAAAATTGTGACAGAAAAATATGAACCTGCTGTGGTTACATCTTCATTCTCAGGAGAACTAACTTAGACAAGCAAGGTTTAACAGTACTAATTTTAACTAAATGATTCCAAAGCTTGTCTCTACTTATAATCATTTGGCTTTAGTTTTAAAAGCATCTCAACCATTCTTTAAAACAGGTTCATAAATATGTTCAGCTTTGTAGGTTGTGCTGCTTTCATCACACCTGTTCACCTCTGCCATAATGGTGCCCACGCAGCCTGGACGGTACCTGAGCAGGTGGTGCAGCTGGACTTCAGTGGAACTTTCTTGACAGGAATACACAGGGTTGGATTTGGCCCCTTGCTGTAGTCGGCCAGCCCTTCTTTAAAATATCACAACCACCTGCTCAGACTCTGGGATGGCTATACTTATAACACATTTGTTTTAACATAAATAACGTGAAAGATATTTATGGTCCAGCCCCTATTTTCAGCATAACCTTCACCACTTCATCTGCCTGCCCTTCTCAAGCCTGACGCCCCCGTGTTGTGTTTTCTGTTTTGCAGTCGATCCTTGGCAACACCAGCGGCTTATGGTCCACCACTCCATTCAGCAACTCGATCTGGTCCAGCAACCTTAGCAGTGCCCTTCCTTTCACCACTCCAGCCAACACGCTGACCAGCATCGGCCTCATGGGCACAGAGAACTCCTCTGCTCCTCACGCTCCTTCCGCCTCCAGTCCGGCTGACGATTTGGGACAGACCTACAACCCGTGGCGGATATGGAGCCCCACAATTGGTAGAAGAAGCTCTGACCCATGGTCTAACTCACACTTCCCTCATGAGAATTGAAATTAGGCAAAAAAAAAAAGGCAGGGACCCTCATCTAGATCATGATAATGCAAGTTTCTGAGACACCTTCCTAAGGCTCTTATTGCTGTAGCTTCCCACTCCCCACCCTCCTCATCTTCGCAGAACAGACTCAAGCAGGGCAGGCTTGTACCACTCGCTGCTTTCGGATCTTTCTTGCAATTATGATAATGAGATTTGCTGTTTGCTTTTAGAGAAAAGTCTGGACTCAGCTACAGACTCCATCTGAAAACCTTATCTGTTGTCAAGTTTCCACCACCTGTCCTCTTTCATTCTTTATTTATCTGAATGAACACAAATTTGACATTACAGCTAAGGAAATAATTGAGTTGATTCAGAAGGCCTGGCATGAGACAATTGTATTAAATTACCAGGTTTGGTTTTTTTTATAATTTCACAATATTATGCGCCAAGATCTAATTTTAAAAATGTATGAGGACTTTGTGCTGAAAACATACAGAGTATTTTTTTAAAATAAGGCTGTCCTGGTTTAAAAGCAGATTACAGGAATGTAAGTCAACTTGAACAGTGAATGAATGTAAAAACATTCAGTTGAGACCATATGCATTTTCTGTCTGTTTGTACTTGAGGTATGTAACATTTGTATACCTGAATTTATTTTCAAGATAAACTGAAACGCGCATAGCCAAGTCTTGAGATACAAGATTGAATGTGTATTTCTTAAAAATATAACTTTATGGTGTACTTTGAAATAAATGATGCATTTTTAAAAGCCTTGAATTGTTGTGTGCCTTTTCTTTACATGTAAGATAACGTTTATTTGGATTCCCTCACACCTAAGTAAGCTATGCTACCATTTACTTATTCTGTGGAATTTGATTCATCGTGGCTGGAATCCCCATGCTCTACTTCAATTCTGAGTATTTCCATGGTAATCACTGAAGGTCCTTGATAGAAAAAAATTTATACATTTAGAACATAAATACAAGTGTGTTGATTGACCCTTTTCCAATTTTAAAACTCCATGACTCATCCAAATAGTTCCTGTAGAGAGTAGAGTATGCGGAGACCAGTGTGCTGGGGTGCATCCGTGTGGTCTAACCATTCAGAAAGTCTTGCCTGCTCCAACTTGTTTTTCTCATCTTTCATTTCCAGTTTCTTTGAAAGCCAACCTTTGGACATACAGCCTTTGCTGGGTAACCAGGAGACACTGAACATGTTCTTTTTGAGGTCAAGTGCATCCTGAAGAACTCCAGCCATCCTCAAAAGGTCAGAGAGGGTTAGGTGAAACCTTGTACATGAGTGATGTTGAGTTTGACCTTTCTCTGCTTTACACCAAAGCTCAGTAAGCCAGCCACATTGCGTCTCTACCCTGTGATTTAACCCCTTGGGACACACCAGATTCCCTACAGTCAGAGCTCTGCTGTTCCGGCGCCTGGTGGACCTAGTCTCATTGGTGGGCCTCCTGTGTGCACTTGCAGAGCCAGGGCACTCAAGGCTGGATTGTACACCAGAGCAAGTAATAAGGTGTGACAAAGCTATGGAAACAGGAGGGCATCCTATTAGCCCTCATTTACAAAAGAAAAATTTCTCCTTCATAGGACCACCTGAGACTCCCACATGGCTGCCTTTTCTAAAAGTTCTTGTTTCACGAAGGCAGCTCTGGGCAGGACTGAGAAATGTCATACATTTGAAAAGGGAAGAAATACAAACAAGGGTTTGTGCTGTTACTTGGGTTTTCCAAATAAACTCTCAGGGTAGGTATTTCAGCGGCAGCATACCAATCAAACCTCGAGCTCCGACAGAGTTGGTCAGACAGCTTGCAGTGAGACAATGTTCACACAATAGATGGATGCTTTGTACTAGGCCAAAGTTGAATTTAATATTAAAATGTGTGTATAGATATGACATGTATAAATATACATATATAATTGTATTTAAATAAAATAGTAATGGATGTCTTTACATGGTTTAATTTTATAAAATTATTAAAATACTACTACTTCATGACCGGCCGGTGCGGCTCAGTGGTTGAGCACCAAGAGGTCGCCGGTTCGATTCCCAGTCAGCACATGCCCAGGCTGTGGGCCCGATCCCCAGTGGGGGGCATGCAGGAGGCGGCCAATCAATGTTTCCATCTCTCCCTCTCCCTTCCTGTCTCTCTAAAATCAATAAAGAAAAATAAAATACTACTTCTTCATGAAAATGTAATATGTTAACAAAATTGTAATGTTCAGATTGGTAACTTTGAAAGTTTAGACCTAAATTAATTTATAAATAATTTTTAAATAGTTGTAGTTTCTTAAAAGAAAAAAAAACATACAAAAAGAATTTTAATTTAAACATTTCTTAAAATGTCAACAGATTAACCATATGCAAATACATTTAGATCTGTTTTGCCATTTTAAAAATTTAAAGTAATGAGTTTAGTGCTCATAAAATATTAACATATTTCTGTCTGGAAGTCACATGTCTGAAGAAAAAAGTATAAGTATGTTTTTTAAATACTATTATAGGTCATAATAAATGCAAGTAGTTATACTGGGTACAGTAATTATACAGACATTCAGGAATATGCACAGGATAATAGACAATGTGATTTTCAATTGATTTTTTATTTTTTAATCCTCACCTGAGGATATTTTTCTATTTATCTTCAGATAGAGTGGGAAGGTTAGAGAGAGAGAAACAGCGACATGAGACAGACACATCAATTAATTGCCTCCCACATGACCCTGACCAGCGCCAGGGACGAACCACATCCGAGGTACATGCCCTTGACCAGAATCGAACCCCCGACTCATTGTTCCGTAGGCCAATCTCTTAACCACTAAGACATACTGGCCAGGGCTCAATTGATTTTTAAAAGTTGTTACCATTCATCCTAATAAATTTAATGTTATATATAGTATTACTTAATATACTGAAAAGTTGATTATATTTTAAAGCTATAGTTAAAAACGCTAAATCATTACCTATTTTGTTTTTTATATCTTTATATGCCTATAAGCAATAATGGTATTTTAATAGATCCCTTTAAATTTTTTCTTACATAAATAATATACCAAAGAAGTAAAATATGATCTGGGTTTTTCATGTATAATGATTTAGTTAAAATGCAGCAGTTGAAGAGAGATTCATTTTTGTCACCAAATTATTTTCAATTCTCAACCCCCTTTTTTTTTTTACACACCCTTTGTAATTTTGTTATTAGATTCCTTTGATTAGCCCTGACTTAGTTTCACTTGTTCCTAATTAAAATGCTATCACAGACTTAAATTCACCCTTAAAATATAAAACAATCTCCAAAATTAAATCATTTCAGATGGCACTTGGCAAGTTGGCAAAAATATTAAAAGCAACTATTTATACTGATAGTATAAACAAATTTGTGGGATAGACAATCCGAGTGCTTTAGAGACAAAGACAACTTTGACAGATCCCAGCATTCCACACACCAGGTTGACCTGTCTGTTCCTTCAGAGTAAACGTGTTCCCAGTACGTAATGAATTTATTACTCTATGACGTAACGTATAATCTGTACATTTGTAAATGCTATTAGCAAACTTTGTCTAAAACAGTATACTTTTAGTGTTTCAATTAGCTGTGCCATCTGTAATACCTGTAGTGAATTGTTTGAACACTCTTAGAAATAATTTGTACCAAGAGGTACTTAAGTCAACTTTTTAGCACAGGCTGTCTACTAAATTAAGTTCCTGCAAATATGGAACAAATGTTCAAACATGTTCCCCCCAAAAATGGCATTATACTATAATACTTCATGGAAGCTATCAGCATTCCACACACGAGGTTCACCTGTGTATTCCTATAAAGAGTGAAACATATTCCCATTGGGTAAATGCATGTAGTGGTCTCTGACATGTAAAATCAATACATTTGTAAACTCTACTAGCAAACTCTGTCTAGAGTTTAGTGTAGTTTTAGTGTTTCAATTTGCTATGCATTCTCCAATACCTGTAGTGAAGTATTGGAACTAAGAATTTATTCATACCATGCGAGATTTTGGCAAACTGTTTTCAGCACAGACTATAACCACTAAATGAAACTCCTACTAATTATATAATGAATGTACCAACTAAAATATTTCACAGAAGATACCAGCATTCCACACTCTAGGGTTACTTTTGCATTCCTGCAAAGCGTGAAACGTGTTCCCAGTAGGCAGGCATGTGTTAGTCTGTGACGTGACGTATAAGGAGTACACATGAGAACACTACTCACAAACTCTTTAGAACAGCCCAGTTTTAGTGTTTCAAGTAGCTGCGCATTCCATAATACCGGTAGTGAAGTGTTTAAACACTCTTGGAATTAATTCCTTAATTTAGTGTGAAGCACATTGGAACATTCATTACATAGTTACTAGAAGATTTAGTTATATACTGTGGTGATGCCTTTAAGACATTATAAGGAAATATCCTGGGCAAGAGAGGTAATGGGGAGTGTGTGGCTGGCTGTCATTCCAATGAGTCAATGTTGGATTCCCTCTTAGACAGGTTCACCACTGTCGTAAGTTTCTCCCAGTTGAAAAAGCAGATCATAGCTCTGTAGAGAACACACCTGAGGTAAGTGTTGATAGACATTTCCCTGTGTCTGGCTGTATGGGAGAGAGAAGACAGAGCTAGAATTTTTACTTATGTTGTTCCTGTCTTACTGGTATTCTTCTAGAACTCGTTTCAGAACTGAGGAGCCAGCACTCCGAGCAGAGCAACATTGGACCCCGAAAGCCTTGGCAAAGGCCCCGATCTTAAGCCCTAGTCATCGCCTCGGTGAACAGAAGCAACCTGTGCGTGTCCTCAGCCGCTCTCATCAATTTCCTCCGTTTCGTGTTCTCTGCAGCATACAATCGCACGTAGCTGCAACAGCCGCTCTTCTCTCCTGCACTTTCTTGTTTTCTAATTTTCTTCCAGGGACTGATTGGGCCAATCACTGTGTTCAGACACACGAGCTGCACAGGAAGGAGATAAATCTCAGTTTTTGAATCATTGGTCAACAGGACTGATGTGGAAGGCGGCTTCCAGCTACTTCACAGTTCCCTTTGAGACCCAAAGCAAAGAAAAAAAACACCTCTAGCACACCGACAGCCACACTGCACACAGTGGTGCCACAGGAACCAACAGATGGTCAGTGTGGAGCCAGAACAAGCGATTCTACGGCCAGCCTACACGGAAATTTTACAGAACCTGGGAGGCAAAAGAAATCCTCTCGACCACCGTCCCACAGGACCAGACTCGCAGCCCTGAGTGAGGAAAGTCGGGAGATGAGCCTCCAGAAATCGAGAACCACCCCTCTGAATTTTGGCTGTACTGGCATGTGGTCGAGTTGTCAGGACCTGGCTTTAGGAGGAGAAAGGCAGCGTGCTCTCCGCCCCAGGGCAGGCCTTCCCTTTGGACTGCAGGTGCTCGGCGTGGAAACGCAGCAGGGTCCTGGAGCGCACACCGGTGTCCACAAGGCCGTCGCGAGCAATGGAGCATCCCACGGAGGCCCAAGAGGTTTTCTCCCCCGTTCTGAGTGTGGCCCTTTACTGTCGCAAAGGCTGGTGCCAGGCCCCACAGAGCAGATGCCCTCTCCAAAGACTGAATGACAGCAACAACAGAAATTGTCATGGCCACACTATTTCTTCACTGCTGCTTCCACTGTGCTGTCGGGACAAACAGAGAACCGTCACCACAACACGGTAGGGAGAACAGCCTAAGAATTTCTCCACACGTTTCTTTGGTTGCTGACTCAAGTTCAAAAGAGAAACCTGGCTTTGTGGGTGTGCGTCACAGGCGCAGATGCTGTACGTCTGGACCCAGTGAGTCCAGAACTATGAGTTGTGACTGTGCCATCAGCGCGGGAGTAATCACTCCAACAGAACCTGAGACTCCGCTGCTGTACAACTGATTCCGTGGGAAAGTCTGTGATGCCTTAGAATGTTCCATCAGATACTGCTTTCAGCATTTAAAACAATAGGGAAGGGAAGGGCACAACAGTAACTCTGAGCCAACAGTCAGGAAATTACCTGAATTTTACTGCTTCCATTACTCTAGCACTGTTGGATGTATGTACATGTACACTGCCCTGCATGCTTAACTGACAGCGCTTTAAGAACTTGTCAGATTTAATAAATAGCTTCCTGCTTGGTCTTCCCGCATTCTGTCTCTTTACTTCCTTTCGTTTGTATCCTGGAAAAATGCCTCTTGAATGTATAATCAGAATGTGACTATTCATTCATGAAATAAAAATATATTTGTGCCCAGCTGGTGTGGCTCAGTGGACTGAGCATCGGCCCATGAACTGAGAGGTTCCTGTTCAATTCCCAGTGAGGGCACATGCCCGGGTTGTGGGTCAGATCCCCAGTAGGGGCCAGTGGATGTTTCTCACATCGATGTTTCTCTCTCTCCCTTCCTCTCTCTCTAAAAAATCAATAAAAACATTGGGGAAAAAAAAAAAAACATATTTGGAAACACAGCAGCTTCTAGGTTGTAATTGGGTTTGTTTGCCTTTTTTCATCTTTGCGGAAATTCTTCAGAGATCTGCAGTGGCTTCTTTGCCTGAGACCATGTGTGAGAAAGTCACGAGGCCCAACCCAGGCCCATACCTTCTACATGCAGACTGGAATCACTGGGAATGTCCACAGAGGAACACCCCGCTTTCACTGTGACGCAGAGGGGCGAGTGCCCACCAGAGCATGCGCATACAATACAAGCGCCGATCACCTAGACCCACCATCCTAACAGACCAGATGACAACAACAGCAAGTCCTAGTGATGATTACAGAATAGTAAGAAAGGGTCTTTTTTGTTTAATCCTCACCCGAGGACATTTTTGCATTTATCTTCAGATAGAGCAGGAGGGAGAGAGGGAGGAAGAGAGAGAGAGAAAAACATTGACACGAGAGAGACACGTTGACTGGTTGCTACCCCACGACCCCAACCAGGGCCAGGGACAAACTGCAACTGAGGTACATGCCCTTAGCGGGAACCAAACCCAGACTCTCCAGTCTGCAGGCCGACGGTCTAACCACTGAGCAAAACCGGCCAGGGCTCTCTGCCCATTTTTTAATTGGGTTCTTTGTCTTCCTTTTGTGAGTTGTATGAGCACTCTATATATTTTGGAAATTAACCCCTTATCTGATGCATCATTGGCAATTATGGTCTCCCATACAGTGGGTTCCCTTTCCATTTTGATGGTTGTTTCTTTTGCTGTCCAGAAATTTTTAGTTTGATGTAGTCCCATATGTTCATTTTTTTCTTTGTTTCTCTTGCCTTAGGTGATGTATCAGTGAAAATTCTGCTGTGTATGATGTCTGAAATTTTGTTGCCTACATTTTCTTCTAGAATTTTTATGGATTCACGAGTTACATTTAAGTCTTTTATCCATTTTGAGTTTATTCTTGTGTATGGTGTAAGTTGGTGGTCTAACTTCATTTTTTGCAAGTAGCTGTCCAATTTTCCTAACACCATTTATTGAAGATACTGTCTTGACTCCACTATATGCTCTTGCCATCTTTGTCAAATATTAATTGAGCATACTGTCTTGGGTTCTGCATTCCCTGTTCTGTTCCATTGATCTATCTGTCTTTCTTGTGCCAGTACCAGGCTGTTTTAATTACAGTGGCTTTGTAGTATAACCTGATATCTGGTAATGTGATCCCTCCTACTTTGATCTTCTTTTCCAAGATTGCTATGGCTATTCAGGGTCTTTTTTGGTTCCATATAAACTTTTGGAGTGTTTGCCCTGGCCAGTTTTGCTCAGTGGTTAGAGCATCGGCCTGCAGTCCAGAGAGACCCAGGTTTGGTTCCCGCTAAAGCCACGGACCTCGGCTGCAGTTTGTCCCTGGCCCCGGTTGAGTCGTGCGGGTGGCAACTATTCGATGTGTCCTTTTCATATCGATGTTTCTCTCTCTTCCTCGTTCTCCCTCTCACTCTATCTGAACAAAAAATGTCCTTGGATGAGGATAAAAAAAAAACTTTTGGAGTGTGTGTTCTAGTTCTGTGAAATATGTCATTGGTATTTTGATGGGGATTGTATTGAATCTATAGATTGCTTTGGGAAGTATGGACATTTTAATGATGTTAATTCTCTCAATCCATGAATATGGCATATGCTTTCACTTTTCTATATCTTCCTCTATTTCTTTTTTCAATGACCTATAGTTTTCTGTGAAGACGTCCTTTACTTCTTTGGTTAAGTTTATTCCTAGGTATCTTAATTTTTTTGCTGTGATAATAAATGGTATTATTTTTTTAGTTTCTCTTTCTGTGAGTTCATCATTGGTGTGTAAGAATTCAGTTGATTTCTTGATGTTAATTTTGTATCCTGCTACTTTGCCAAATTCATTTATTAATTCTAGTAGATTTTTGGTGGAGTCTTTAGGGTTTTCTATGTATAATATTATGTCATCTGCAAATAATGACAGTTTCACTTCCTCCTTTCCAATTTGGATCCCTTTTATTTATTCTTCATGTCTAATTGCTATGGCTAAGACTTCCAGTGCTATGTTAAATAAGAATGGTGAAAGTGGGTATTCCTGTCTTGTTCCCATTCTTAAGGGGAATGCTTTTAGTTTTTGCCCATTGAGTATGATGTTGGCTGTAGGTTTTTCATATATGGCTTTATTATGTTGAGATATGATCCCTCTATTCCCACATTGCTGAGTGTTTTTATCAGAAATGGATGCTGGATTTTATCGGATGATTTTTCAGCATCTATTGATATGATCATATGGTTTTTATCTTTCATTTTGTTTATGTGGTGTATCACATTTATTGATTTGTGAATATTGTACCATCCTTGTATCCCTGGGATGAATCCCACTTGGTCATGATAATTTTTTTTGCTGTATTGCTGGATCCAATTTGCTAATATTTTGTTAAGGACTTTGGCATCTGTGTTCATCAAGGATATTAGCCTGTAGTTTTCTTTCTTTGTAGTGTCTTTATCTGGTTTTGGAATTAGGATTATGCTGGCCTCATAAAATGAGTTTGAAAGTATTCCAAACTTCTTGGATTTTTTGGAATAGTTTGAGGAGAATGGGTATTAGCTCTTCTTTGAATGTTCAGTAAAACTCTCCCGTGAAGCCATCTGGGCCTGGGCTTTTGTTTGCTGAAAGTTTCTTAATTACATCTTCAATTTTTTTTGTTGTTATTGGTCTGTTCAAGTTTTCTACTTCTTCCTGGTTCAGTTTTGGGCGACTGTGTTTCTGGAAATTTGTCCATTTCATCTAGATTGTCCAATTTGTTGGCGTATAATTGTTCATAGTATGTTTTGATGATCCTTTGTATTTCTGTGGTGTCAGTTGTTACTTCTCTTTTGTTTCTGATTTTGTTTATTTGGGTTCTCTCTTTTTGTTTCTTGGTGAGTCTGGCTAATGGTCCATTGATCTTGTTTATCTTTTCAAAGAACCAGCTTTTTGTTTCATTGATCTTTTGAATTGTTTTTTTAGTCTCTAGGTCGTTTATTTCTGCTCTGAACTTTACTATTTCCTTCCTCCTACTGGTTCTGGGTTTTTCTTTTTGTTTACTTTCTAGTTCTTTAAGTTGTAGGGTTAGAAAGTCGATTAGGAATTTTTCTTGTTTCTTGAGGTAGGCCTGTAGTACTATGAACTTCCTTCTCAGGACTGCTTTCGCTGTGTCCCATAGATTTGCTGTTGTTGTGTGTTCATTTTCATTGGTTTCCAGGAAGTTATTTCTTCCTTGATCTCGTTAGCAACCCATTAATTGTTTAATAACATGCTATTTAGTCTCCAAGTGTTTGAATGTTGTTGTGTGTTTTTATTGTAATTGAGTTCTAGTTTCATGCCACTGTGATCTGAGAAGATGTCTGATATAATTTCAATCATCTTGAATTTGTAGAGACTTGTGTTGTGTCCTAACATGTGGTCTTTCTTTGAGAATGTCCCATGTGCACTTGAGAAGAATGTATATTCTGCAGCTTTGGGGTGAAATGTTCTGTAAATATCAATGAAGTCCAACTGATCTAGTTTGTCTTGTAAGAACTCTATGTCCTTGTTAATTTTTTGTCCAGAAGATCTATACAGTGGTGTCAGTGGCGTGTTAAAGTCACCCACTATGGCCCTGGCCAGTTTGGCTCAGCGGTTAGAGCGTCGGCCTGCGGTCCGGAGAGACCAGGGTTCGGTTCTCGCTAAGGGCATGTACCTCGGTTGCAGTTTGTCCCCAGCCCTGGTTGGGTCGTGTGGGTGGCAACCACTCGATGTGTCCCTTTCACGTTGATGTCTCTCTCTCTCTCTCCCCCCTCCCACCCTATCTGAACAAAATATCAAAAAATGTCCTCAGGTGAGGACTAAAAATAAATAAATAAATAAATAAATAAATAAATAAAGTCACCCACTATGATCGTATTGCTATTGATCTCTCTCGAAGTCCTCCAGAAGTTTTAAAATATATGTTGGTGCTCCCATATTTGGTGCATATATTTACCAGAGTTATATCCTCTTGTTGGATTTACCCTCTTACGATTATGTAGTGACCTTCTCTGTCTCTTATTATGGCCCTTGTTTTGAAGTCTATCTTGTCAGATATGAGAATTGCTATACCAGTTTTTTGTTTGGTTTTTTTTCATTTCCAGCACTGCAAGAAATGCTGAAGGGACTATGAAGAAGCTCCCTTAAACTCCTCCTGCTTTTTAAACTTTTTTC